CTCCTGCGGCTCCTTCCACTCGCAGACCTGCCGGGAATGGGAACGGGAGCCGTTCCAGGGGACAACAGTGTCCCCAAGGAGGGGGCACCACCTGCACCCCCTTCCCTCCTCTTCCTGCTGCTCCAGGACTCACCTTCTCCCCCGCACCCATGCCCTTCCGGACGCCTTCTTCCAGCAGGATCTGGAAGGCTTCCTGCAGGAATTCCTCCCCGGCTGCCGTATCCAGAGCGGGATGCTCCAGGCTGCTGCTTTCTGCCATCACGGACGGTTTCTCCTGCTCATTCCCTGGAGCAGCGGGGACACCGGGACGGACGTCACCCGGTGCCACCACCACACGGCTCGGGAAGGGCATTCCCAGGAAAAGGCCAGCCCCAAATCCCGCCATTCCCAAAGTTTAGTAACAAGATCTGAGGATCTACGAACCTGGAGCGGATCCGTTGTCGGAGAGACTCCGGTTCCCCAAGGCACAGGATGACGCTCCCGTGCTTTTTTCCCACCTTGCACAAACAGGGCTTTTTCCAGCCTTTCCGGAGTCCCGCCGCAGCCTCGGGACACGGAATTCCTCCTGTTAAAAGGAAAACATTCCCTGAAAGGCGCCTCTCCGTGCCATGGGAACGCGGAGCCGCTCCGAGCGCCCCGGCGCCCAAGCACGGGGATAATCCCTGTTCCCAAATCCACGCTCATCCGGAGGTGACAGGACAACGAGGCGCTGCCGTTTCCAAGCTCCATCCCCCCCGTAACCCGGCTCTCCGTGGGATTTATCCCACTCTCCATGGGGTTTTTCCCGGGATCCCGGCGGCCGAGGTTACCCGCTCCGGGGACGGTGACGTGTGGCGAGGGGACAAAGGGCAGCGGGAGCTGCCGGAGGGCACCCGAGCGCTCCATGATCCGGAGGGAAAAACGGGATCTTATCTCCAGGGAGGAGCCGTGGGAAGGAGCAGAGGGAAAGGAGGAAACTTTGGGATCCCGTGTCCCTTCTCCCATTCCCGGGATCCTCTCGGATCCCCCTTGGAAGAGCCTCATGATCCCATCCCGCCTGAGTGGAGCCGGATCCGCTTCCCTCTCCCTTGCACTGTCCCCAAGGGGGCAAAAAGCAGCATTTTGGGTGACACTAAATAAAAATGGGGATAGATTTGGAATGAGGAGGTGGTATTTGGGGGAATATGGGGATGGAATATGGAATATTTGGGATATGGGAGCTCAAAGGGCAGCTGGAGGGGCTGGACAGGCTGGGAAGAAGGGGGGGAGGGA